AGCAACCAAAGGGAGGTGAGGTTTTAGACCAAGATGCAGTTGTAATGTGGGCAGTGTAAGAAGCTGGGACCTAGGAGGTCAGAAGAGCTTCTTCTGATCACACGCAAACAATTCTGTATTATCATGTAAATGTAAAGAGAAACATTTTTACTTATTTATTTTATAAATATATTTTATTGATTTTTTACAGAGAGAAAGAGAGTGGGATAGGAGAGTTAGAAACATCAATGAGAGAGAAGATGAGAGAGAAACATCGATCAGCCGCCTCCCACACACCCCCCCACTGGGGATGTGCCTGCAACCAAAGAACATGCCCTTGACTGGAATCGAACCCGGGACCTTTCAGTCCGTAGGCCAACGCTCTATCCACTGAGCCAAACCGGTTAGGGCGAGAAACATTTTAAATGATGGGCTAGATATTGTAAGTATTGAAAAGTAAATATGAGGCTTATGTTTAGGGGTCATGTCATGGGGAAAAAATGTCATTCAGGCCCTGGCCAGTGTTGCTAAGTAGTTAGAGCGTTGGCCTGTGCACCAAAGAGTTTCGGGTTCGATTTCCAGTCAAGGCTACTTACCTGGGTTGCAGGACAGATTCCTCAGCCCTGATTGGACATTTGTGGGAGGCAACCAATTGATGTGGCTCACATCTATATTTCTCTCTTCCCCTCTAAAATCAATAAAAACATTTAATTTTTTTTCCAATGGTAAATTCTGTTGTGCATATTTTACTGCAAAGAAAAACCCACTGACCTCCCAATATATTTAGAAGTAAGTCCAAACTGCATCATGGCACGCAACAGCTGTGACCTGTACCCTTCCCCGGTGTGGTCAGTTGGTTGGGCGTCATCCTTTGCCCTGAAGGGTTGCCATTCAATTCCCTGATCACAAATGGGGGAATGCAGGAGGTGGGGGCCGTGCAGGAGGCGGATGATTGATGTGATAGCTCTCACATACCGTGTTTCCCCAAAAATAAGACATCCTCCGAAAATAAGACCTAGCGCATGGAAAGATAAGGCATCCCTTGAAAATAAGACCTAGGGCAACTTTGGGAGAAAAAATTAATATAAGACACTTTTATTTTTGGGGAAACTGGTCTCCTCCTACAGGTCACACTTTACACTATTTACAAAGCCATCTCTCTAAAAAAAATCCAATAAATTTTTTTTTTTTAATGTTTCATCCTTACCACGACCAGCCTGAGTATCCATCTGCAACAGGCACCTTCAGCACATGCTTTAGTTCCTTTGTAGTGCTTATTTGCAGTACAGCGCCTTGTCTTATTTATATACTGGCTTATCACTAGTCTCCCCCCTTCCCACCACTCAGAGGCAAGTTCTAAGAGGATTCCTGTATCAGTTTTCCCCGCTATATCCTGACACACAATGAGTTCCTAGTACCTGGTAAATACTTACTAGAATCCTGTTAAAGAGATAAATGAGAAAGCAGACGGCACTCATCCTGTGCTTCATGCTGACCGCGGCTGGCAGGGCTGTGCTGGACACACTGTGCCTGGTGCTGCTCCCCCCGCCTCTCCAGCTCCACCTTCTCTTTGGCCCACCCCTCCCCAGTACGGTCACCCCTGGGCCTTCACACCCTCCCACTCCTGACTGCCCCTTGCCCAGCAGTCAGGCTCCCTTGCCCAGCTATCTGCTTGAAACCTCTGGGACTTGCTTGTTCACAGCTCATATTGGCAGTCACTGAGCCATGCAGATAAGATACTATGGCAGAAACCTCTCATGAGTATCTTTCTTCCCAATTCCAAGGTCAGGAAGCAAGATTTTCTTGCTCTTTAGCTTGGTCCCAGCTCCTGATCAGCTCTGGGAGCAGATATCCGACAGGTCTTTAGTAACTGGTCTCCTCCTACAGGTCACACTTTACACTATTTACAAAGCCATCTTTAAAAAAATTTTTTGCGGAAACCGGTTTGGCTCAGTGGTAGAGTGTTGGTCTGAGGACTGAAAGATCCCAGGTTCGATTCCGATCAGGGGCATGTACATTGGTTGCGGGCACATCCCCTGTTGGGGGGTGTACAAGAGGCTGCTGGTCGATGTTTCTCTCTCATCGACGTTTCTAGCTATCTTTCTCCTTTCCTCTCTGTAAAAAATCAATAAAAAATATATTTAAAATTTTTTTTTTCTTTATTGATTTTTAGAGATAGAGAGAAGGAGAAAGAGAAACATCAATGTGCAAGCAGAACATCAATTGGCTGCCTCCTGCACACCCCTATTAAGCCCATAATCTGAGCATGTGCCCTGGCCAGGAATTGAACCAGCATCTTTGGTGCACTGATGACGCCCAACCACGGATGACAAGCCACACCAGACAGGGCCAAAGTACCTACTAAACAACCCTGCCTCTGCTAAGAACTTTCCCTGGCTCCTCCGGATAATCCTTAGGCTCCTCTGCTGGGATCTGTTGGCTCTTCCAGCTTGGCATCCCCCTCACTGCTGCATCTTCCGTTATTCATCATCTACTTTTCTTTCTTTCTTTTTCTTTTTCTTTTTCTTTTTTTTTTTTTAATATATTTTATTGATTTTTTTACAGGGAGGGATAGAGCTAGAAACATTGACCAGCCGCCTCCTGCACAACCCCCACTGGGGATATGCCCGCAACCAATGTACGTGCCCTTGACCGGAATCAAACCCGGGACCCTTCAGTCCACAGACCGACGCTCTATCCACTGAGCCAAACCGGTTTCGGCTACTTCTTTTCTTTTTAATTGGTTTTGAGCCCTGACTGGTTGCTCAGTGGTTAGAACATTGACCTACATTCCAAAGGGTCTTGGGTTCAATTCCCAATCAGGGACACATATCTGGTTGCAGGCTTGATTGCTGGTCCTGATCAGTGTGTGAATAGGAGGCAACCAGTTGGTGTGTCTCTCTCTCAACACCTCCTGTCTCCCCTCCATTCTCTCTAAAAAAAAACTCTCTAAAAAAATCAATGGGGAAAAAATTATCCTTGGATGAACATTTTATAAAATTTGGTTTTAGAGAGAGGAAGTGGGGTGGGGGGGGAGATATCTATTGTTGTCTCCCGGATCCACCCTGACTGGGGATAGAACCTGCAACCTGGGTATGTGCCCCGACTGGGAATCAAACCTTCCACCTTTGGTGTATGAGTGCAACACTCCAACCGAGCCTGCCGGCCAGAACCATACCTAGTTGTTTGTGTTTCAGTCATACTACTGTTCCTTACCCACATCTATCCTGGCCGGAATCTTTCTCATCCTTCTCATCCTTCAAGGCTAACTTACACCTCCTCCTCCAGGAAACCTTCCTGGAGAAGACCTGCCCAGCCTCCTCTTGGTCCTCTTCACACACGATTTTGTATTGATTAGAGTAATAAAAACCGGTGTTTATTAAATGCTAATATGCAAGGTAATCTTCTACATTATCTTACTTAATCCTACAGCAATTTTATGAGGTAGGTTTTATAGATGAAGAAACTAAGGCACGGAGAGGTGACTTGGGAAGAGGTAACTTGCCTGAGACGACACAGCTAAAAAGCAAGTGAGTCAGGATCTGTGCCTGGACAGTCTGCTCAGAGACCAGGCTCTTCCCTTTATTCCACACTGTGTCCGTTTATAGCCTTTCCAGGAAACAAGGCTCCTTGCTGCTGCTTTGCCTGAAAATCTCCCCATACAGCAATCACCACCCGGTGCTGCGTGATCACCCCCTGGTGCTATAGAATCACCACCGGTGCTATGGGATCACCCCCTGGTGCCATGGGATCACCACCCGGTGCTATAGCATCACCCCCTGGTGCTATAGAATCACCACCGGTGCTATGGGATCACCCCCTGGTGCCATGGGATCACCACCCGGTGCTATGGGATCACCCCCTGGTGCTATAGAATCACCACCGGTGCTATGGGATCACCCCCTGGTGCCATGGGATCACCACCCGGTGCTATAGGATCACCCCCTGGTGCTATAGAATCACCACCGGTGCTATGGGATCACCACCCGGTGCCATGGGATCATCACCTGGTGCCGTGGGATCACCACCTGGTGCCCTGGGATCATCATCCGGTGCCATGGGATCATCACCCGGTGCATGGGATCACCACCCGGTGCATGGGATCACCACCCGGTGCTAAGGGATTACCCCCTGGTGCTATGGGATCATACCCGGTGCTATGGGATCACCCCCTGGTGCTATGGGATCACCACCCGGTGCTATGGGATCACCACCCGGTGCTATGGGATCACCACCTGTTGCTATGGGATCATCACCCGGTGCCATGGGATCACCACCTGGTGCTATAGGATCACCACCCGGTGCCATGGGATCACCACCCGGTGCCCTGGGATCACCACCCAGTGCTATGGGATCACCACCCGGTGCTATGGGATCACCACCTGGTGCTATGGAAGCACAGCCCTCTCCTTCTCCAGTTCCTGGGTCATGGCCAACCAGGACAGTTAGGTGGGGCCTCTGGCACAGCTTTCACCACAGCCTCAATCAGGTCACTCTTTTCTGGGTCAGCCTGTTCCTGGAGCCCGGCACAAAAACCCAGAGGCCTCAGGTGTGGCTTGTGAATGACAGCATGGAGTAGCCTTCCTCAGCCTGGGATTCCCTATCACCCAGCTGTCTCCAGCAGGTCACTGCGTGCTGGCTGCACCTTTCTGAGTGAAAGTCCCGCGCTTTGGCTGAAACCGGTTTGGCTCAGTGGTAAAGAGTCGGTCTGTGGACTGAAAGGTCCCAGGTTCGGTTCCAGTACTTTGGTTGTGGGCACATCCCCAGTAGGGGGTGTGCAAGAGGCAGCTGGTCGATGTTTCTCTCTTATCAACGTGTCTAGCTCTCTCTCTCTCCCTTCCTCTCTGTAAAAAATCAATAAAATATATTTTTAAAAAAAGAAAGTCCCGGGCTTTGGCAGGCTCTTTTTTCCTGTGAGATTCTCCCAGACAGGCAGGGATGGGCCCTGCGTCCTGAGGAGCTACCTCTCCAAGGGGCGGCCACTCTCTGGCTGGGAAGTAAGGACAAAGATACCTTTTTATAAAAAATTAATTTATTGATAGAGAAAGGACAAGATACATTGAGAGAAACATCCACCCATTGTTCCACCTATCCATGTATTTCTGGTTGATTCTGGTTTGTGGCCTGGCCGGGAATAGAACCCACAACCTTGGCATATTAGAATGATGCTCCAACCCCGTGGTTGGCAAACTGCGGCTTGCTCTGTTGACTAAGGAATTTGCCAACCACAACTCTAACCAGCTGAGCTAGCTGGCCATGGCCAAAAAACCTTTCCTGTAGTTGCTGTTTGCTGTCCTGCTGGCTTCCTGCCCAGATCTCAGCTCTTACCTGAGCGGGACCTGTGTTCACTAAAAAGTAAACCCAGAACCCATTAAGCAGCTCAGAGAAAGTGGTAGTGTCAGTTTCCAGCTTTGCTGTCTTAAAGCAATGAAATGTTGAAAAAAATCACTTAATCTCTGAGCCTCAGTTTACTCATCTGCAAAACATGGCTATTGATATTCATGTCCTGCCTCCTTAGCCTTTCTGGGTGTAAAATCTCCATAATTCACTCTTTCAACACATTTATTGCACATTTACTATGTCATACATACTATACTGTTTAAATTTCAGTCTTCACAGTAACCCTTTCCCTTGAGGTAGACATTAATAATCCTCATTTTACAGATGAGGGAGTGAGGCTGGGAGGGCGAGACTTACCAGCTGTGCCTGTGCAGAGACCCGCTCGGTGCTGTCCACCCACTCCCGCTCCCGGCTCCCCGTGGCTCAGCTAGCCGGGCCTGGCCCCGGCCTCGGGGCCCTCTCCCAGGCCTCAGTCCCAGCCTTTACCTCTCAGGCAGATAAGCAGCAGGGGGTGCTTTTGAGACAGCAAAGGTCTTGGTTGCACCTGCTACTGAAACAGCACTGAGAAAAGTCTAGCGTCTCGCACACTTTTTAGAAAAACTGGGGAGAGGAGTGTCAAGTTGAGCCTAGTTGAATCTTTACAGGCACTTTCCTTTTTACATGTGTGAAAACCTGAGGGATCCTGGAGGGAAGCCCAAGGAGTGAATCTGGGTTCCCAAGCCCCTGATGTAGGCGTCAGGGCCCAGTCGGTCCTTTTCGCCAAGGTCAGGCTCGACCCCACACGCGGGAGCCACTCACCCGCACTCCTCGAAGATGTCGGGGTAGTGCCGGAACAGCACGGGCGGGTCCCGGTCATCGCGGACCGGGGCCTGAGGCACGGCCCGGATGCCCGGCCTCCGGCCGCGCCGGCCCCCGGAGCAGGAGCGGTGGGTCCACTGGTGCGCGTTCACCGCAAACTTCCTCTTGAAGCGCATGCCGCACTCGGGGCAGGGGAAGGGCCGCTCGTCCGAGTGCATGCGCTGGTGGCTGACCAGCAGCGACGGGTAGGTGAAGCGGCGGCCGCAGTCCGCACACGCGTGGCGCCGCTGGCGGGCCGAGCCCCTGCCAGGCCCCGGGGGCGGCCCCGCGCGCGGGTCCCAGGCCGCTTTCAGGGCCCTGGCCGAGGCCTTGCCCAGGGCCCCGTCGGGGTTGAGTTTCACCAGCTCCGCGGGCCAGTCCTTCCCGGGAGTCCTCCGAGGTCCCTGGGCTCCTGGCCCCGCTTCGGGCTCCTCCTCCTCCTCGTCTGGGGCGCTTCCTGCGAAATAAGAATCAAAGTGAAGATACATTTTCAAACACATTTGCTTAGTCTCCCTCTCTCTAAAACATCCAAAAACAGTCTCGGGCTGTAGGGTGCTTTCGCTTAAAGACAGACGTGCCAGAGAAACTCTACGCGGTGGTCCACACGCAGGTCTGAAGGACAGTGAACACGTCCACATCCCTCAGGCCTCGGCTCCTCGCGTGTCACAAGTGAGTCACGGTGACTCCTGTGCGCGCTGCGGGCTGCGGGCGGGCACACCAGCGGGCGCGCGGCGAGCTCAGGCTGGGAGGTTCCTCTCCGCCTCAGACGGCCCGCTCTGCGGGGGTGGGGAGGGGAGCCAGGCTGTGGGCCTGGCAGGTCCTCAGGTACCACTTCGCTTTGCTGGAGGAACGTGAAAGGCGGATCTGAAGTCACACCTATTCTTAGGGGATTTTAGTTCCTAAAAAGGGGGCCTGGCTGGTGTTTCTACCACCAGGCCCTGGAAACCTGAGTGTTGGATTTGGGCTCCTGAGTTCTCTACTCTGGTCTCTACACGATGACTCTCGAGTTGTGAAAACTTTGTGCCTGGTCTGCCTCCTTCCCTGTTACGCACACGTGCCTCCTTGTTCCCGCAGGGGTGCTGGGAGGGGAGGGGGGTCTGAAGGTGACAGCAGTGCCGGTGGGGAGACCTGGGGGCCCCTCACCTCGCAGGGCGCCTCCTACGCTTGCCCCCTCGGGGTCCTGGGCGGCCGGGCTCCAAGCCTCACTGCCCCGCTCCATCCAAGAGATGAGGTCTGGTTTGGGGCCGGGGAAGCCTGAGAGAGAAGGTCACGGGCAGCTGAGAGGCTGCGGGGAGGACGGCAGCCCCGCCCGGCGAGGGCGCGCCCTCAGGACCGGCCCCACTTGGCCCGGCCTCCGGCTCCCCCGCGGGGAGCGGACGCGGGGGGCGCGGCGGCCTGGGCATGGGGGGAGGGTGTTGGGGGGACGGTGCGCGGTCAGGGCTCACAGACCTCGGAGCCCCTCTATCCTCCGGGAACCCCGGCGAAGGGGGCTCCGACCCGGCTCACCGAGCGCGCCCAGGTGGCCGTAGGTCTCCCGCATCACGTCCCGGTACAGGGCCCTCTGCGCGGGCCGCAGGCTCCGCCACTCCTCCGGGGAGAAGTACACGGCCACGTCCGCGAAGGTCACGGGGCCCGGCTCCTGGCGGCCGGGCCGGGCGGCCCCCGCGGTCCGCGCCGGCAGCGGGGCCGGGGGCGGCGCCATGAGCTCTCCCGGGCCCGGGGGTAGCGGGGACGCGGGGACGGGCTGCGGGGGACTCAGGGGCTCGGGCAGGGGCCCCCCGGCCCCTCGGTGTTTATTCACTTCGCGGCCGCGTGGCCACAGGCACCCGGGTGACCCGGAAGGCGCCGTCCCCACACAGGGCCACATCCTGGCTCCGGCCGCAGCCAACATGGCGCCGCCGCCTCCCGGCCGCCCGGCCGCTTGCCCTCAAACAAAATGGCCGCTCTAGGGGGGAGGCGGGCGGAGGGGAGTCGTGGGGGAGCCTTCTTGCCTTCAAGAAAGATGAACGGGCCGGGCGGGGATTGGCTCGCGCGCAGGAGGCGGCGGCGCCGCGGCCCGGGCGGGCGGCCGTTGGGTAGGCGCCCTGCGCCCCGCCGGCCTGGCTCTGGAGCCGGTTGGGACGGGCGTTTGTGGAGCCCGTGGTGCTGAGCCCGACGTTCTCCCGGCGGCGGGGCCGGTGCCAGCCCCGCGGGAAGCCGCTCCCGCCCCGGCCGGACGCGGGGCCACGGGGTAGGAAGGAGCCGGGTCCGAGGCTGCGGGGCCCCACTCCGTGCGCTGTCCCTCCGCCCCGACTGAGCTGCGGGCGAAGGAATATTTGCTGAGGTTCTAATTGGAATGGAGAAATTGTTATATTTTCTTTTTCTCCAAATGAACTAATGCATATGGTTTTTTAGAAGCTTTTGTAATGAAAAAATCAGTTCCCTGTACCCTTTCCCTCTCCAAAGGCAACTACTTTAAGCTTTTTTTTTTTTTTTTTTTACTTTAAGCTTTTTATTAATTTTAACTTCAATGTACACACAGTAAAATGCACAGTGTAAAATTGGCCAAGTTTTGACAGACGTACACCACCATATTAACCATCAGTCACCCCCAACAAGATATAGGACATTGACGTGACCCCTGACTGTTTCCTTCTGCACAAATTTTTATTGTGGTAAAATACACGTCATATAAACCACTATGCCATTTAAAACTACAATTCAGTGGCATTTAGTACATTTACTATGTAAACCAGTCATTACTGCATCACCCTCATGGAAACCAACTACCTATCCTTTGAACAGCCACTCCCATTCTCCCCTCCCACAGCCCACAGCAATCACTAATCTGCTTCCTATCCCTATAGATCTGCTTTTCCATATCAGTGGAGCTATGCACTATGTGTGGCCTTTCCTTCTGGCTTCTGTCTTTATTTAGCATGTGTCGGTAGTTCATTCCATTTTATGGCTGAGTAATAAGCCATTGTATGGCTAAATCCTACTGCCCATCTGCTGACGGAGGTAGACATTAGGGTTTCCACCTCTTATCTAGTACTGCTCTGAACATTTGTGTTTGCCCCATAGGTGCCCCAACGGGGGATTGAACCTGCAAACTTTTTTTTTCCTGCAAACTTTTAAAAAAAAATTTATTTTTTAATTGATTTCAGAGAGGAAGGGAGAGAGAGAGATAGAAACATCAATGATGAGAGGGGATCATTGATTGGCTGCCTCCTGCACATCACCCCACTGGGGCTGCAGCCCATAACCCAGGCATGTGCCCTTGACCAGAATGAATCCCAGACCCTTCAGTCCGTAGGCAGTGGCTCTATTCACTAAGCCAAACCAGCTAGGGCCCCTGCAAACACTTTGGTGTACGGGAGGGCACTCCAACCAGGGCCCATTTTAACCATTTCTATGTTCACAATTCAGTGGCATTAATTGTATTCACAATATTGCGCAACTGTCACTACCATCAATTTTCAAAATGTTTCTTCATCAACAAAGGAAACCCAGAACCCATTAAGCAGTCACTTTCTATTCCCCTCTCGCCAAGTCCCTGGTAATTTCTCATTTTCTGACTGAATTTGCCTGTTGTGATACCTCATACAATATTTGTCCTATTGTGTCTGGCTTCCTTCACTTAACATAGTGTTTTCAAGGTTCAGCCATGTTGTGGCATGAATCAACACTTCATTCCTTTTTTATTTTTTTAAATATATTTTTATTGACTTCAGAGAGGAAGGGAGAGGGAGAGAAACATCAATGATGAGAATCATTGATTGGCTGCCTCCTGCATGCCCTCTACTGGAGATTGAGCCTGCAACTCAGACATGCTCCCTGGACTGGAATCGAACCCAGGACTCTTCAGTCCACAGGATGACTGACGCTCTATCCATTGAGCCAAACCAGCTAGGGCTCAAGTAATTATTTTTTTTAAAGTCCCTAGCATTATATATTTCCAGATGCTGTGGCCCAAGAATACATTGAGAAGATGTAAAATCCAGGAAACGTGCTGATATGTGAAGAAGAAAAAATACTGCAATCACTAATTCATAAATATTTTGAGGGAAATGTATATTTATATTCATTATGCTTAATACTTTTGCACACTGGGTGCAGAGTGAGCTTGGGGCAGGAGAGTGCCCCGCCTGAAGCCTTTTTCTCTGTGGCCACCTGTATTTCTGTGAGACCAGAGTGCCAGCAACGGCTTGTACTGCATGGGTCTGCCTGCCTGGTACTTCCCTTGCCCTGACTAAAAGGCAGAATCCTTGCGTGAGCTTCCCTCGGAGGGGCAGGCCCAAAGTGTGCCTTCTGTTCCAGTGCATCTCTAGGGTGGGTACCAGCTCCTTTAATAGGTTTTCACATCTATAGGACCCCAGGACTGAGGAACAGGGGAGATACAGACTGGAATGCTCTAAGGGAGAGAACAATCCAGAAAGAAAAGCCAGGTGAATGGTTTGCAGTGAAGTAACCCCAACTGGGACTTGGAAGTGGGAGCCGGAACCTCAGAACACGGGTTCAGTCCTCCGGTGGTCATTCAGAGAGCAGCCTCCTCTTCCACGGGGCCTTCCCCGGCCCCTCCCCTCTGCTCTTTTCCTCACACAGAGCTTTGTTCCCCTACCTGCCCACTTCCTCTCCTTACCCTGCAAACATAGCCTTGCCTCTTCCTTTCCAGAGAAAACACATCATCTCGTGAGCTCTATCACCTAACCCTCTTGAAGTAGATCTGGAAAGTACCAGAAATTAACAGGATCCTGGCCTCCCAAAACAGGATTGGCTCTGAGACCCACTACCGGCTGCTGCCACTTGGGCTCTTGTCAGAGGGATTGACCCACTGATGGTCTTCCAGGCCGTACTTGCGCTTGAAGCCTTCCCCACACTCAGCTGGCTGTGTAGAGCGGACGTGCTAATGACGGAGGAGGAGAGTGGGTAAAGCAGAGGCCACAGTGAGGGCAGGGGTAGGGCTTCTCGCCTGTGTGTGCACCTGTGGGGAGCCAGCAGAGAGGTACCTGTAGGCAAAACGGAAGCTGCATTCAGGACGGCTGTAGGGCTTCTTGCCTGTGTGCTTGTGCTGGTGGATGGCCAGTACCTAGGGGTCAGCGAAGTGACTCTTGCAGTCTGGGCGTTGGGAGGGCTTCTCCCCAGTGTGAATGGCCAGGGAAGCCCTCTGGCAGCAGCATCGCCTGCAATGGGCAGGAGATGGGCTTTTCACCTGTGTGGATGAACTAAGCCAGAACAGGTCCCTGTACTGGGAGAAACAGGTTTGAACTGGTCACAGAGGAAGGACCGCTTCCCAAACTAGACCACTTCTGGAGGGAGGGATGGCTGAAGTTGTAGCCAGAGTCTAGGCAAGAGTAGGGTGGTCTGTGGGTTGGTGTGTCCTTGAGCCACGGCTCAATGGAGCTCCACCTGAGTTCCAGCAGAGCTGTGGGCAGGCAGCTCTGTGACTGAGGCCAGGCTGTGTGCTGAATGGCAGCCTCTCCTTGAGGGGCTCTCCCATGCTCCATCTCTGTGTTTTGGATTCTTCAGCCCTTCTTTCCTCAGTCCCATCCCCGCATCCCAAGTCAGGGAAAAGGATAAAACTTGAAACTTAGCAGCATGTTCCAGAACGTGACCTGCCCTGGAGGCAGCATGAATAGCTGAGTATAAGACCCCGTGGGAGTAAGGCTCAAAGAGAGGGGTCTCAGCAGGCCCTGAAACCGAGCCCAGAGTAAAAGCAGATTCTGTCTGGAGGTTAACACAGGAAAGCCCTGAAAACTGGAGATAAAAGGAGGAGACAAAATAGTAAGCCCCTACTCTGACACAGGCATTGAGGGTGGTGATGGTCCCAGCCTTCATAGAGCTTACAATCCAGAACCTGTTTATAATCCTCTTCCAAAAAGGATATTTATTAAGTGGCCTCTCCAGGTGCCACTGAAGGCCATCATTATGAAGTCTACATGTGGACTGCTTGCCGTCTAGCCTTCACAGAAAAACCTTCTGGGAACAGACATTTATTATGACACTAGAGGCCTGGTGCACAACATTTGTGCACTGGAGAGGTGGTCCCTCAGCCTGGCCTGTGCCCTCCTGCAGTCCAGGACTCCTCCAGAGGCAGGCTGCCTGCCTGCCAGCGTAAGCCTGCTCCCCCAGCGATCCTTAGCACTGCCATTGCTGTGCTTGCCAGCCATGAGCCTGGTTTCTGCACTGAGTGTCTGCCCCCTGGTGGTCAGTGTGCATCATAGTGACTGGTCATTCTGCTGTTCTATCAATTTGCATATTAGCCTTTTATTTTTTTAAATATTTTAAAAATATTTTTTATTACTGAAACCGGTTTGGCTCAGTGGATAGAGTGTCGGCCTGAGGACTGAAGGGTCCCAAGTTTGATTCCGGTCAAGGGCATGTACCTTGGTTGCAGGCACATCCCTGGTGGGGGGTGTGCAGGAGGCAGCTGGTCGATGTTTCTCTTTCATCAATGTTTCTGGCTCTCTATTCCTCTCCCTTCCTCTCTGTAAAAAAAATCAATAAAATATACTTTTAAAAAATATTTTTATTGACTTTTTTAAAAAATATATTTTATTGATATTTCACGGAGAGGAAGAAGGGAGAGAGATAGAGAGCCAGAAACACCGATGAGAGAGAAACATCAGCCAGCTGCCTCCTGCACACTCCCCACCAGGGATGTGCCCGCAACCAATGTACGTGCCCTTGACCGGGCCGACGCTCCATCCACTGAGCCAAACCAGCTAGAGCAAAAGCCTCTAATTTCTTATGTTCCCTGGACTAACGCTGAATTGGGAGGCATAATCAGGGATTTTTCCAAAGTAACTGAGGATCCACAGATTTGCTGACAAATTTAATGTGGTAATTCAAATTGATCAACCTGGTTTCTCTGTCTTATCAGCTAGTTCACATGCTTGCTGGTGAAGGCCAGGCCTACACTGGATAAATCCTACTAATTGTGTCTCTCTCATTGATGTGTGGTGTTTTTTTTAA